TGAGCTTTAAATATTTATCAATAGCCTTAAAATTGTCCTTTCAATCAATGATTATACATCCAGAAATCTACCCTAAGAAAAGGGATCCTCAGCCAGGTGCAGTGGCTCATGCCTGTAATCCCAGCACTTTGGGAGGCCAATGTGAGAGGACTGCTTGAGCCCAGGAGTTCAAGACCAGCCTTGGCAACATAGTGAGACCCCATCTCTATTTTTTTTATTATAAATAAATAAAAGTAATCCTAAAAAATAAACTATGCAAAAAGATGCTGACACTAATTAGTAATGTCCAATAATAGGGAAATTGTTAATAATACATTCAATGAAATATTATGCAACCATTTAAAATTATGCTTAAGACATGGAAAAATGCTTACTAGGCAACTGAAAAAGTAGGATTAGAAATTACCTGCTCACACCTGTAATCCCAGCACTTTGGGAGGCTGAGGAGGGCAGATCATGAGGTCAGGAGATCGAGACCATCCTGGCCAACATGGTGAAACCCCGTCTCTACTAAAAATACAAAAATTAGCTGGGCATCGTGGCACGGACCTGTAATCCCAGCTACTCAGGAGGCTGAGGCAGGAGAATCGCTTGAACCAGGGAGTCAGAGGTTGCAGTGAGCTGAGATCATGCCACTGCACTCCAGGCTGGTGACAGAGTGAGATTCAGTCTCAAAAAAAAAAAAAAAAAAGAAAAAAAAAAAGAAGTACATATTCAAAACTATATACAACTTTTGCCTTTTATTTCGCTAATCATTGCTTCGAATAAAGATGGGAACTTTGGTTTTTGATTTTTTGGTTCATAATCTTACAGATTTTTTTTTTTCTTCTTTCTACTTTTCTGGTTTTTTCTGTAAACCTATAGTAAACCCCTTTAGGTTAATGCAAATCCACACACTGCAGAATTAGTATCTTTCAGAATATTCCCTCTGCTGAGGCAAGAAACACAATATTTGAAATGTCTATGTAATCTAGAAGTGTAAGAAAAAACAGCATGACAAGATTGATGGAACTAGAATACTGAGGAAAAAAAGAGAAAGTTTGGCAAATGTAAGAGGTGTTTTACTAGTCATTCATTCTCCAAATAAGTATTGAACTCCAGCTAAATGCAATCTCTTAAGTTAGTACTTATTCCCTCTTATTACCTGACTAATGAATTACTCCTGGGTGTCAGCCTCTAATGCCATGTTCCCCAGTTACCCACAAACTGAATAAGATGTCCCTCCCATGCGTTCCTATGGCACCCCCTATGCCTTCTTGTAACTGGAGGTGAATAATGTAAGGCCCTAGGTTAAAATTTTAATCGACTCTTTACAAACAGCAGTCATTTTAAGCCTTTATGTAGCCAGGGGAAGGAGCCACTAAGAGGTACACGTCTCAGCAATAGGCTACAGGTACCTTATTCTTCTTTTTTTTTTTTTTTTTTTTTTTTTTGAGACGGAGTCTCACGCTGTTGCCCAGGCTGGAGCGCAGTGGCGCGATCTCGGCTCACTGCAAGCTCCGCCTCCCGGGTTCCCGCCATTCTCCTGCCTCAGCCTCCTGAGTAGCTGGGACTACAGGCGCCCGCCACCGCGCCCGGCTAATTTTTTGTATTTTTAGTAGAGACGGGGTTTCACTGTGGTCTCGATCTCCTGACCTTGTGATCCGCCCGCCTCGGCCTCCCAAAGTGCTGGGATTACAGGCTTGAGCCACCGCGCCCGGCCACAAGTACCTTATTCTTAAAGGCAAATTATTTGAAAATGGAGATAAAGAAATGGAACACTGCTGGACACAATGGCTCATGCCTGTAAACCCAGCACTCTGGGAGGCTGAGATAGGAGGATCACTTGAGCCCAGAAGTTTGAGACTAGGGCAACATGGTGAAACCACATCTCTACAAAAAAAAATACCAAAAAATTAGCTGGATGTGGTGGCTTGTGCCTGTAGTGCCAGCTCTTTGGGAGGCTGAGGTGGGAGGATCGCTTGAGCCTGGGAGATTGAGGCTGCTGTGAGCCAAGATCTTACCACTGTACTCTAGCCTGGGTGACAGAGGGAGACCCTGACTCAAAAACAAAAAGCAAAACAAAACAAACAAATATGTTTAAGGGGAATTCTACCCAGTGAAATTTGTACGTGATGAGCCTTCATTCTTTAGTTCTCTACTAAAGCATTTCTCAAATTCAAGCTTTTGAAATTTCAAGAATATGTATCAGCAAGCATCACTTTGTAGAAGCCCAACTATATGTGCTGGAATCCTGTGCCTCTATTTGGTTATAAGGTGACTGTCCACAGAGGGGCAGTAAAGTGTAATAGTTTAAAATTCAGGTCTTAGGCCGGGCGCGGTGGCTCAAGCCTGTAATCCCAGCACTTTGGGAGGCCGAGACGGGCGGATCACGAGGTCAGGAGATCGAGACCATCCTGGCTAACACGGTGAAACACCGTCTCTACTAAAAAATACAAAAAACTAGCCGGGCGAGGTGGCGGGCGCCTGTAGTCCCAGCTACTTGGGAGGCTGAGGCAGGAGAATGGCGTGAACCCGGGAGGCGGAGCTTGCAGTGAGCTGAGATCCGGCCACTGCACTCCAGCCTGGATGACAGAGCAAGACTCCGTCTCAAAAAAAAAAAATAAAAATAAAAATAAAATAAAATAAAATTCAGGTCTTAACTATAATCCCACTGCCTATTTCTTTATTTCTTAAAATATTATAAAAATGACATAAAATTTTAAAATAGTATAGAGAAATTGTGGACTTCCTGAAGGATTTGAAAAATTAGGCAAGCTATGTTATCCAGTTAATAATTGACACAAAAGCTCTGGTTTGCCATGGTCTATATTGTGGATAGGAAAGTACCATTTTGCCATGCAGGATATATATTTTTAAATATAAGCATACTTATCAATTTTTCTTTTCCTTTTTTTTTTTTTTTTTTTTGAGACATCTCACTCTGTCTCCCAGGCTAGAGTGCAGTGGCACGATCTTGGCTTACTGCAGCTTCTGCCTCCTGGGTTCAAGCAATTCTCCTGCCTTAGCCTCCCGAGTAGCTGGGATTACAGGTATGTGCTACCATGCCCGGCTAATTTTTGTATTTTTAGTAGAGACAGGGATTCACCATGTTGGCCAGGCTGGCCTCGAACTCCTGACCTCGTGATCCACCTGCCTTGGACTCCCAAAGTGCTGGGATTACAGGCGTGAGCCTCCGCACCCAGCCACTTATTATCAGTGTTTCATGGCTTCTGAGTTTTGTATCATACTTAAAAAGATGTTCCTTATTACAAAGTAATTTTGAATGTCCCATATTTTCTTCTAGTACTTTTTTTATTTTATTGTTCAGATTTAATTTTTTTATCTGTCTGGAATTTATTTTGGTATAATGTGTAAAGTGTGGTTCCAATTTTATTTTTCTTCCAGATGGTTACCTAGTTGTTCTAACACTATTCACTGAATTCATCATTTCTCCACTGATTTGAAATGCCACCTTCATGATATTCAGAGTTTTTGTATGATACGAAAGACTAATTTTTTTTGGTTCCGATTTGAGTGGAAAGGTCTTCATGTGCACTTTTTAACTGCCCCAGAGTTTGTTGTTGTTTTAAACATTTTAAAAGTTGTCTCTAACCATCAATATGATACCCAAATAAGATCTTTCTCCTCCCTTCATGAATTTGTCATTACCCAGCTCATTTTAGTTTCTTTAAGTGTACTGCACACAACCTTCAAATATTATGAACATTTCTCTCTCCCAGCTGTCACTACACCAAACTACATATGTTATATTTCCCTAAATCATCTTGCTGTGCTCTTTGCAGCTCTTCTGTAGACTGTTGATGTCTTCACCTAACGAGTTGCTCAAAAGTTCCCATAATTATTTAGGTGAGGCCTCAGAGTGAAAGCCTTTCATCACTATCCAGTTCCTTCCCCAAATGGGCATTCATTTCCATATAACAGGGACGGCTATGTTTGGGCGAAAATAACAGATTTGGAAGCACAATGGCAGTTATTTGTTGGATCTTGAAACGATCCACCTGTTGGGGGCGGGGGAGCGTCCTACACAAAAATGCCAACTGCTATTGTGGGAATGTTTTGCTATTTATTCCAGCAAAATGATTCAGACAGAAAAAACAAAAAAAGGATCGCCCTGTACTAGGTCTTGAACCCAAAGAACTGTTTGCACAGAGATTCATCCAAGATACATCACAGCCTCCACCTCGGCAGCTGCTCTCTCAAATGTTTCCTGACTCTCCTCAAGTCAGTCTCCGCGTGAGGGGAGGAGGAGGACGCTGCCAGCGATGGCGCTGCTGGCACGAAGGCTGGCCTGCGACTTCTATTTAAAAGCCGAACCAAAATATACTTGGCGTCTGTGGTCTATTTAAAACTTCAAGTTAAGACAGAGAAAAAAATTACTCTCCATCCTGAATGGGCCTTGGGTATCTCAATCACAGACAAGAGTGGCAAATGGTGAGAGTCAGAAAGTGGGAAATTAGGAACGCTGAGGGAGCACGGCCAAACTCTGAAGCCAGGCATGAAAACCCGGAGGCGAAAGAGAAGTCATGGGCAGCGGCGGCGGGGGGAAAGGGGCCCGGATTCGACCTTCTAACCCAAGGCTCCATCTGCGACCCTCGCGACCAAGACCTATTGCCAACGTCAGCCACCTCTGCTCAGCGCCCCTCCCCCGATTCAAGGCGTCCTCCTCAGAACCCTTGCCTCAGGGTCCTCTCCCGGACTTTAGCGAGGTGCTCAGTTCGAGGGACGCCCCAGCTCAACGGTCTCCTCCCTTCAAGGCCCCGCTCCTCAGGGCGCTCCCTCCACAGCGCCCCTCCCTCACTCCCTCACCTCAGCGCGCCACGCGCCGGAGGCTCCTCTTGGTTTCCCGCCCCTCAGTCCTCGCCCCGCCCCCTCGCCCTGCGCCCTGCCCCGACTCTCCCCTCGCTACGCCCCCTGCAGGCCACGCCCTCTGGTTCCCCCAACTGTGAGCCCGCTCTTCCCCCGCCCCTCCTTCTTCGCCCCGCCCCCATAGCTCCCCTCCCCGCGTCGCCCCCTGTGGGCCCGCCCGCTCCCCGCCCTTCCACCCTCACCTCGCCTCCTCAGCCTGCGCCCCGCCCCGGCCCCTTGGTCCTCGCCCCGCCTTCCTCATTTGGCGCCAAATCCTGTGGTCAACGGCGCGCGGGTTTCCAGGCTCCGCGTTCTGGGCCCGAGTTAGAATCCTGTCAGCTGAGGACTGGAAAGGTCGGGCGGGGGCAGAGGGGCTTCACCTTGAAAATCTCGGGGAGACTGTGGGTACGAGGGGGGTAAGTGGCATAAACGGACAGCGTGCGAAGACTGAGCGGACGCTCGTTTTGAGAAGGCGCGCTTCCCTTTCTCGCTCTTTTTTTTGGGGTTCCCGGGCTAGCGACTCTGAGCGTTCCGCTCCGACCCCTGGGGAGGAATTTTAGTGACCTTGAGGGATTTCCAACCTCCTTATTTTCAATCTAATCGGACCTAAGTCTAGGAGAGCCCGCCTCATCCTCCTGACCAGGGAATCCCCTGTCAGGAAAATGTCCGGCGGCCGCACGGGGTCTGCCCAGGCCTCCTGTTGAGGGAGGCGTCGAGGGCGACCCGACCGCGCTGCTGCCCCCACCAGAGGGGACAGCTGGGTGGTCTTAAACCGGGGGATTGGGGAGCCCTGCCTTCAAGCCAACCGTTCAGTCCATCGACGGCTCTTTGAGAGATGGGGGACAATCTTTTCATTTCATCACGGGGAGAAGAAATGGATGTTTTTTTCTTCGATGGGGACAGTAAATGTGGAATTGGGGTACTCATAGCTAGCCATCTGAAGGACAGTGTCCCCGAAGATCCCATCCGAACGGTCTCGGTTGCCTTCCATCCTTTGCGGTTTGAGGTGCTGGGTGGTAGGACCCTGCTCCTGCCTTCGTATTAATAGTTCGTTCCCTTTGTTCTAAGGTCCAACCCCTGACTTCGGTATCAAATGAGGAAATGGAATCGACCAAGAAAAATGATTATTTGTACCGCATTTTATTGTAATAAACACAATCACGCCTTGTGGATTCCTGAGATTTCTCTTTGGGTCTACAATGTTAAAAACTTTAACTGCTTATCAGCCTTACTATAATATTATGATCCACCAATTTTTTTTTTTTTTTTTTTTTTTTTTGAGACTGAGCCTCTCACTGTCGCCCAGGCTGGAGTGCAGTGGCGCAATCTCGGCTCACCGCAACCTCCGCCTCCCAGGTTCAAGCGATTCTCCTGCCTCAGCCTCCCAAGTAGGTGGGATTACAGGCGCCCACCACCATGCCCGGCTAATTTTTTTTGTATTTTTAGTAGAGTCGGGGTTTGGCCAGGCTGGTCTCGAACTCCTGACCTTGTGATCTGCCCTTCTTGGCCTTCCAAAGTGCTGGGATTACAGGCAGTGAGCCGCCGCGCCCGGCCCACCATATTTTTAAATCTTAAAAAAAATCATGAAACTAGTAAATACTGTGAAAGAAAGTATAGCTAATGTTCTATGAAACAAAAAGGTAGGTGTTACAGGAGTACCCATTCATAATCAGCAGACAGGAAGGCATTCATCATAGATGAGAAAAATAAAATCCATTTATTGAGGACAAAGTTGGAGGTGCCAGGGAGGACACAAGGAAGAATGATATATTGTCAAGGTTCTTAGAGTTTTGTTGTTAAACATAAACAAGAAAGATTAAAAGCAATAAGCAATTTTAAATAACATTTCTTTTTTTTTTTTTTGAGACAGAGTCTCGCTCTGTCGCCCAGGCTGGAGTGCAGTGGCCGGATCTCAGCTCACTGCAAGCTCCGCCTCCGGGGTTTACGCCATTCTCCTGCCTCAGCCTCCCGAGTAGCTGGGACTACAGGCGCCCGCCACCTCGCCCGGCTAGTTTTTTTGTATTTTTAGTAGAGACGGTGTTTCACCGTGTTAGCCAGGATGGTCTCGATCTCCTGACCTCGTGATCCGCCCGTCTCGGCCTCCCAAAGTGCTGGGATTACAGGCTTGAGCCACCGCGCCCGGCCTTAAATAACATTTCAAGGCAGTAATAAAGTCATGATTAGCTGTGCAATGGAAACCAGATGATAAGTGATCACTATTGGGGAAAGAGAAGAAACTAATCACCCCCCAATTTGCCCCTCAGGCACCTGTGTGCATGTGGGGACACGCACACACCACATGCACACACACACACACAAACACACACAAGAAATAATGCCACATGCCTCGCAGAAAGAAGATAGACTGGCCTAGTCTTTCCAAGTTAAATGCTTCTCTTATTGTCCTTCTAGTCCTTGGTGACTTTGAAATGAAATCAGAGGCCCCTGGACAAAGGACTACTTCTTACATAATATTTCTTTTTTTCCCAGAAGTGATTATTTTTCTTTTGCTCACCTTTCAACATGAAGGAGGATCAAGTTGTGGCGGAAGAACCAGGATTCCAAGATGAAGAGGTATGACTAGAATGTTGAAAGATACATAGATATTCGGTCATTCCACAAAAATCAAGTTCCTTCTCTGTTAGCTACTATTTTTAGAAACTGAAAGTAGAAATAACACATAGTTATATATTGCAAATATGCAACAACTTGTTTGGCAAGGATGCTAAGATTAGCTACTTAGCAACTGGTATGAAAGTATTTTAATAACTTAACAGCTGGTATGGCCATACTGATACCTGTATACACTGGTACCGAATAGCAGCCTGGTCCTAGAGGAAGGAGTTTAGGATCTGGAGGGGAAGAGGGTTGAGAAAACATATTTAAAATAGGTCAAATGTTGTTCCAGTCCTTTGGGTAAAGGTTTCAAAATTTTAGGGAGGACATGACAAAGGTAACTGGTTTCCCAGCCCTTTCAATGTTGGTGCTTCTAAGTATGTGTTTGAAAAACAGTATTGATCTTTCCTCAATCTCTAGAGAAGTGGAATTTGAGGCATTTTGGAGTGACTCATAGTATTGAATTACCTCTTTAAAAGATGTGAAATAGCTGGATATGAAGAATCAAAGCTTCATTTTTTTCTGTTTCATCTCCTTTAGGAATCTTTGTTTCAAGATATTGACCTGTTACAAAAACATGGAATTGTAAGTAGTTTTTCAATGCTGTGTTAAATTATCTGATTCAGGATTTCTCAGCATCAACCTTACGGACATTTGGGCCTGGATAATTCTTTGTTGCAAGGGGCCGTCCTGTACATTGTAGGGTGTTTGCAACATCCTTGGCCTCTACTTACTCACTGCATGCCAGTAGCACCCCTGCAGCTGTGACAATCAAAATGTCTCCAGACATTATCAAGTGTACCCAGAGGACAAAATTAAGTTCTATACGTCAGATGACTGGAATAAATGATGTTGGCAGAAATCCAGCCTTTGAATAATGAACTGGGTGGATTTCCTTTTTTTTTTTTTTTTTTTTTTAAATTTTTTTTTTTTGAGACGGAGTCTCGCTCTGTCTCCCAGGCTGGAGTGCAGTGGCACGATCTCCACTCACTGCAAGCTCCGCCTCCTGGGTTCACGCCATTCTCCTGCCTCAGCCTCCCGTGTGGCTGGGACTACAGGCGCCCGCCACCGCGCCCGGCTAATTTTTGTATTTTTTTTTTAGTAGAGACGGGGTTTCACCGTGTTAGTCAGGATGGTCTCGATCTCCTGACCTCGTGATCCGCCCATCTCGGCCTCCCAAAGTGCTGGGATTACAGGCGTGAGCCACCGCGCCCGACCGAACTGGGTGGATTTCAACAGCAATCAGTTGATAGAACTGTGCTGACATTATCTGTTGTAGCCCTAACATTTAATCTCTTTCAGTGGTTTTAGAAAATAGAAGCAAGAGAAAATCCTGGTCCTTTGGTGATGTAGTTATTTGCATTCTCCAGGGGCAGAAGAAAAAAAAAAGTCTTTAAAAATTTAAAAGAACATGTTGGTAATGAAGTTCTGTAGAAGGAAGGAGCTGAACTGAGGGGGTGAATGTGTGATAAATTTGTTAGCTTTTCCACCAACAGACTTTTCTTTTGAATTCCTTGTTACATTGCCATGGTCTCACTAACATTCGTGGGAAATCAGGGCGCAGTCAGAACATTTGGCAGCCTGCTGAGTATGTTCTACTCAGATATTTCCAGAACATTTGGCTACATGGTGGGTGGGTTCCACCTGGCAGCTTGTATAAAATTGGCATCATGGTGGAAGGAGATGGACACAGAAACACATGACATAGTATGGGAGCCTTTCAGGCTGGCATCTTAGCAATCTGCTGTGCCCATTCTTTAATTTACAGAACGTGGCTGACATTAAGAAACTGAAATCAGTAGGAATCTGTACCATCAAAGGTATACAGATGACAACAAGAAGAGCTCTATGCAATGTCAAAGGACTCTCAGAAGCCAAAGTAGACAAGATTAAAGAGGCAGCGAACAAACTAATTGTAAGCAAAATCCATTCTTTGCTGTTTTAGCTTAGAAGGGCCTTGTGAATCTTTATAGGCTTTCTCATGAAAACTAGAAATTATTGTGGGAACTGAGTTCCTGTAGATCACAATATGTTATACTCCCAATGTTAACTTTTTATCAATTCAGTTTCAAAGCAAGAGCAATTGATTTCTGAAAGATGAAGGTAGGGATTAAGAGACCTGGAACACTAATGAAGGTAATTATTTTTGCCAAAACTTTTTTGTCTCCCTTTATATTCCTTTTTCTGGCTGTCTCTGCCTTTCCTTCTCCTTTCCCTTTTTTTTTTTTTTTTTTTTGAGACAGAGTCTCGCTCTGTCGCCAGGCCTGAGTGCAGTGGCGTGATCTCGGCTCACTGCAACCTCTACCTCTGGGGTTCAAGCGATTCTCCTGCCTCAGCCTCGTGAGTAGCTGGGACTACAGGCACACACCACCACGCCTAGCTAATTTTTGTATTTTTAGTAGAGACGAGGTTTTACCATGTTGGCCAAGATGGTCTCGATCTCCTGACCTTGTGATCTGTCTGCCCCGGCCTCCCAAAGTGCTGGGATTATAGGCATGAGCCACTGCGCTTGGCCTTCATTTTTATTTTTTACCTTCCTCCTCCTCAGTTTTGTCTTGTCTCCTCAAATATCATACCTATGGCTGTTGTGAAGCACTCAGTACCAAAGAAGCTGCTCTCTCCTGGTATAGGAGATTGATATCTAGCCAATTGATAAGAGAGCATTGGGTTAGAAAAAGACCAACGGTGGTTGGATCTATATATGTGCAGTTGAGATAGATATGAATGTGCTCACTGAAGCAGCTGAGCTAAGCTAACCCGTACTGATATAGGGCAGGTGAGCCCCCAAACTGGGGCTTAACCTGGGAGGGTTCTTGGCTTTGCCCAAAAGTGAGCCAGTGGTGTTGGACAGTAACTTTTGTTGAAGTAGCCCAGTACAGCACAGCAGAGATACTGCTCCTTGCAGAGCAGGGCGACCCCATAGGCAGTGTGCCCAGAAGTAGCAGCTCAGAGGCAGTTTTGCCATTATAGTTATACCCACTTTTAATTACATGCAAATTAAGGGGCAGTCTATGCATAAGTTTCTAGGAAAAGAGTGGTAATTTCTGGGCCATTGGGTCATTGCCATGGAAAGGGGCAGTAACTTCCAGGTGTTGCCATAGCAATGGTAAACTGACATGGCACATTGGTGGGCATGTCTTATGGAAAGCTGCTTCTGCCCTGGACCTTGTTTTAGCTAGTTCTCAATTTGGTCTGGTGTCTGAGCCCCACCTCTGGAGTCAAATCCCACCTCCTACCTTACTACTTTCTAGCAGGGCTCACTGGCTGTGAGGGGCCTTTGCAACTGCCAGGCTACCAGACAAAAACATATATATACCTTTGACCCAAGCTTTTATGTAGAGCTTTTGGAAACCACTAGAGGTACCAGCTCTTGAAATAGGAAAGCAAAGAAAGGTAGTCACTAAGTCTTCCTCTTCATTTAAGAGCAGGCCTCTCCATTTTTCTATTGGTATATGAGGGTCTCATTCCCAGCGAGTCTGAGAAGCTCTCTTCACCAACAGCCATTTGGTTTCCTCTTCAGAGGCAGTCAAGGCAGGAGAGTGATGCAACTGGCAGTGTGATCCTGAACTTGGAGAGGACCCAACCGAACTGAATTACTCTGAACCCAGCTCAGTTGCTCTAGCTTCTGAGTACACTCAGGCAGTGTACCCACAAGTGAATTCCACAACTGCCAGGGTGTTTAAGAAAGCCCTGGAGCAGTACCCAGGGTTTGGGAAACTGCTCTATGAAATTAGAGTTGTTTTTTTTGGAAATTAAATCTTATTACCAAAGAAAAGAACCTCTCTCCTTCTCAAGCACCCACTACTGCACCAAGAATCTTCTCCTTTCTTAGCTTAAACTATTTGTCCTTTTTTATTTTTATTTTTTAAGAGAAGGGATCGGGCCAGGTACAGTGGCTTACACCTGTAATCCCAGCACTTTGGGAGGCCGAGGCAGGTGGATCATGAGGTCAGGAGTTCAAGACTAACATAGTGGTCAACATAGTGAAACCCTATCTTTACTAAAAATACAAAAATTAGTCGGGAAACATAGTGAAACCCCATCTCTCCTGAAAATACAAAAATTAGCCAGGCATGATGGCAGTTGCCTATAGTCCCAGCTACTTGGGAGGCTGAGACAGGAGAATTGCTTGAAACCGAGAGGCAGAGGTTGCAGTGAGCCAAGATTGTACCACTACACTCCAGCCTGAGCAACACAGCGAGACTGTCCCAAAAAGAAAAAAAAAAGAGAAAGAGAAGGGTATCTCACTATGTTGCCCAGTCTGGGCTTGAACTCCTGGGTTCAAGTGATCTTCCTGCCTCTGCTTCTGAAGTACATGGGACTACAGGAATATGACACTGTGCCCAGCTTTATTTATTCATTTATTCATTTATTTTTGAGACAAGGTCTCACTCTGTCGCCCAGGCTGGAGTACAGTTTCTCAATCACAGTTCACTGAGGCCTTGACCTCCCAGGCTCAAGCGATCCTCCCACGTCAGCCTCCTGAGTAGCTGGGACTACAGGCACATGCTACCATGTCCAGCTAATTTTTTAAAATTTTTGTGGAGATGGGATCTTGCTATGTTGCCCAGGCTGGTCTTGAACTGCTGGCATCAAGCAGTTCCCGCCTCAGTGTCTCATAGTGCTGGGATTACAGGTGTGAGCCACTGCACCCAGTTGTTTATTCTTAGAGATAGAGAAAGAGATTTAGAGAGAGAGACAGAAAGAGAGAGAGGAGAGAAAGGAAGGAAGTTAATTTCATAGTACAGTGGTTCTAAACATTGATGTATATCAGAATCACCTGGTGTGGCTAATAAAGAAAACAGAAGCCCAGACTTGGCTCACTGAAGTGGGATAGGACCTGGGCTTGGCTGTCCCCATTCTCCTAGTTCTCCAAAGTTTGAGAACCACAGTCATAGTATAAAACAACAAAGAGGGACACCCATTAGACTACATAGGTACCCATTTTCACTAGTCCTCCACTGCATCAGCTATACCTTTTTAATCAGTCAATAAGTAGTATATCTACCATGTGAAAAATGTTGTCTCAAGAATAATGAAAACTGGAATTTCTGTGCCCCTTGAAACTTCTACAGCTGGAAAAAAATGATTCTGTTGAATGAAAAAAAAAAGTGAATTGTTAGTAAAATACCCTCTGCTTTATGCCATAATTATATCTCATTTGGCTGGGCATGGTGGCTCATGCCTGTAATCCCAGCACTTTAGGAGGCCGAGGCGGGTGGATCACCTGAGGTCAGGAGTTTGAGACCGCCCTGGCCAACATTGTGAAACCCCATCTCTACTAAAAATACAAAAAATTAGCCGGGCATGGTGGCAAGTGCCTGTAATCCCAGCTACTTGGGAGGCTGAGGCAGGAGAATTACTTGAACCTGGGAGGTGGTGGTTGTAGTGAGCTGAGATCGCACCATTGCACTCCAGCCTGGGCAACAAGAGTGAAACTCCGTCTCAAAAAAAAAAAAAAAAAAAAAAATATATATATATATATATATATATGTATAAAACTTAAGGGCGAGTGCAGTGGCTCATGCCTGTAATCCCAGCACTTTGGGAGGCTGGGGCGGGTGGATCACCTGAGGTCAGGAGTTCGAGACCAGCCTGGCCAACATGGTGAAACCCTGGCTCTACTAAAAATATAAAAATTAGCTGGGTGTGATGGCGGGCGCCTGTAATCTCAGCTACTCGGCAGGCTGAGGCAGGAGAATTGCTTGAACCTGGGAGGCAGAGATTGCAGTGATCCAAGACAGTGCCACTGCACTCCAGCCTGGGCAATAGAGCGAGACTCAGTCCCCCCCCCAGAAAAAGAAGAAAAATATATATATATATAAAATTTAATTTTCACAGCTACTCTTTGAAGAAACACTGTTATCTGTTTGACTCAAAAGAAGAAGCTGAAGTACAGCAAGATTAAGTAGTTTACTCCATATCATACAACTAATAACTATTAGAGACATGATTTGAACCTAGAAAGGGCAGCTCTAAAGCCTGTGTTCCTAACCATAATCTTGTACTGCCTTCAAGGACAAGTGAACTGCAGCTTATACCAAATGATATCTTAATAATTGAGTATATCATTTTGGGCAACATTTGAAAATAAAACCATCATCTTTAAACCCTTTTTGAACATTTCGTTTTATCTTTCTGTAGGAACCAGGATTCTTGACTGCATTTGAGTATAGTGAAAAGAGGAAAATGGTTTTCCATATCACCACCGGGAGCCAGGAATTTGAGTGTGTATCTTACATTTTTTATAACCACTAAGCATAGTCTTTGGAATACCATGTTTCTTTTCCTCTTTCTGGTTATTTCTACTATAAGTAGTAGAAGTAGCTTCTTCATTTGAAGTTTGGGTGTGTGTGTGTGGTTTTTTTTTTTTTCTAAATGCTATCAAAAAATTCCAGACTGCTTGGAGGAGCAAGATTAAATGTCTTACAAGAAATTCAGACCCAAAATCTAGTTTCTGAATCAGCCAATATTAATCTCAAACCACTTTTAAAAATCAGTTTTTCATTTACTTTCCTTCTCCATTGATGAAGGAGGTTTCATTGCAAATTTTGATTTTACTCAAAAAGCAGTTGTTAGATTAAATATTTAAGAAATAATGCAGTTATTTTTGCTCTTCTGCAGAAGTTTTAATATCCCTTTTTATTTACTGTTTTATGATTCCCAAGACATATCATCATCTTCTCAATGCAAGTTTACTAAAATGTGGGGTTTTTTTCTCCCTCCCTTACTAGAAAGAATTAGCGTTTCATATGTTATAGCCGTGCCCAAGAGCAATTAGAACAAAAGCAGTATTTCCTCTAAGTATTCATCAAAACCCTGGACTCACAAGATACATTAAGAAAAAAAGGATTTCATAGTCAAATATACCTCCACTTGAATATCTAATTGATAGCTCAGACTTCACAGGTCCAAAAATCAAACTTCTGACCTTTGCCCCAAATCTACTTCTCCCAAAGTTTCCCTCATCTTAGATCTATCTCTTTCCTGATCCTCTGACCTAAAACCTGGGTGTTATTCTTGACATCTTTTTTCTCTCACACACCCTAACTCTAACCCATTAACAAATCATGTCTGTTCTACTTTCAAAATATATTTAGTCAGAACAAACCTCTTAGTTTCCTCAACAAATAAATTACAAGGAGGAAAAAAGAGATGGAGTCAGGGAGAAGACCTATAGATTAAAGAGATTTAAAAGACATATCACCTGGCCGGGTGCAGTTGGTGACACCTGTAATCCCTGCACCTTGGGAGGCCAAGGCTGGAGGTGGGGAGGGGATCTCTTGAGATCATCCTAGCAACAAAGTGAGACCTTGTCTCTACAAAAAGAAAAAAAAAAGTTCACACCTGTAGTTCTAACTGCTCAGGAGTCTTAGATGGAAGGCTTGCTTGAGCCCAGGAGGTAGAGGTTGAGGCTCTAGTAAGCCACGATCTTGCCAGTGCACTCTAGCCTTGGTGATGCACAGAGAAACCTTGTCTGGAAAAAAAAAATTAAGGAATTACTAAATTTTTAAGTGTGATAGTGGGAATATGGTTGTTAAAGATGAGAGTCTTCATCTCTTAGGGATACATACTGAAATATTTATAAAGAAATGATATGTTACTTAGTATATGCTTAAAATAATATGGGAAGGGAGGTAAATGGTTAGCCGTCTATATGAAAAAAGATTTACCCTGAGTTCATAGTTGACAATTGTTGAAGCTGAGTGATAGACATGATAGTTCATTATATTGTTTTTGTCTACATTTGTTTATGCTTAATATTTTCTATAATAAAAGATTAATATATAATATATATTATTTTATGTGTATATGTGTGTGTGTACACAGATAGAGTGAGAATATAATTCAACTATTTCTTACCACCTCTACTGTTACCTCATTGGACTAAACGACCACCTATTAATATCTCCCCTGGATTATTTTTTTTTATTTTTTTATTTTTTGAGATGGAGTCTCGCTCTGTCGCCCAGGCTGGGGTGCAGTGGCCAGATCTCAGCTCACTGCAAGCTCCGCCTCCCCAGTTTACACCATTCTCCTGCCTCAGCCTCCCGAGTAGCTGGGACTACAGGCACCCGCCACCTCGCCCGGCTAGTTTTTTTGTATTTTTTAGTAGAGACAGGGTTTCACCGTGTTAGCCAGGATGGTCTCAATCTCCTGACCTCGTGATCCGCCCATCTTGGCCTCCCAAAGTGCTGGGATTACAGGCTTGAGCCACCGCACCCGGCCTCCCCTGGATTATTATAATAACCTCTAATTAACCTCCCTCCTTGAGACCTTGCCCCTACTGTTTTTTTTAATTCACAAAAGAGCCAGAATGGTCATTTTAAAACATACGTTAGGCTGGAGTGCAGTGGCTCATAACACCCTAATGATTCCCCCTCTCACTCAGAAAAAAAGCTGAAGTCCTCTCCAATCTCTAATATTTCACTTTTCTAGTTTTCTACGTACCAGCCATAGTGACTTCTTTGCTATTCCCAGAACATGTCAGATACACTTCTGCATCAGGGCCTTTGCACTTTGTGTTGCCTCTGCCTACCATACTCTTTCCTCTTGGATCTACATGGCTTGCTGTCATCTCTTTCAGGTCTTTGCAAAAATGTCCACGTCTCAATGAGAACTTCTCTGATCACTTTATTTGACAATATAACCTCCTCACTTTCATACTCTGTCTTCCTTATCCCCTTTCCTGGCCTTATTTTTATCCATACCATTTAATAACATCTGACGTACCACATATTTTACATTTTTGTGTTTATTTTTTATTTTTTATTTAATTTTTTTTTTTTGAGATGGAGTCTTGCTCTGTCACCCAGGCTGGAGTGCAGTGGTGCAATCTCAGCTCACTGCAACCTCCGCTGCCCAGGTTCAAGCGATTCTCCTGCCTCAGCCTCCCGAGTAGCTGGGATTACAGGTGCCCACCACCATGCCCAGCCAATTTTTGTACTTTTAGTAGAGACAGGGTTTCAGCATCTTGGCCAGGCTGGTCTTGAACTCCTGATCCCGTGATCCACCGCTTCAGCCTCCCAAAGTGCTGGGATTACAGGTGTGAGCTAACGGCGCCTGGCCTATTTGTGTTTATTATCTCATCTCCCACTAGATTGTAAACTTCGTGAGAGAAAAAATTTCGTCTCTTTTGTTCTCTACTTTATCCCAAGTGCACAAAACAGTCTCTGGCATAAACTAGGTGTGCAATAAATATTTGTTGAATGACTAAATGAATGAATAAACAAATAGTGAATAAGTTTGAGAAGTACTGTATACTATATATTCTTCTTGAAGATTCGCAGTGCACACTAGCCTGTGAAATCCTGCAGTGATACAAAACAGCTGTTTGGGCAGGGCACGGTGGCCCACGCCTGTAATCTCAGCACTTTGGGAGGCCAAGATGGGCAAATCATCTTAGGTCAGGAGTTCTAGACTAGCCTGGCCAACATGGTGAAACCCTGTCTCTACTAAAAATACAAAAAAAAAAATGGCTGGGCGCAGTGGCTCACACCTTTAATCCCAGCAGTTTGGGAGGCCGAGGCGGGTGGATCACCTGAGGTCAGGAGTTCGAGACCAGCCTGATCAACATGGAGAAACCCCGTCTCTACTAAAAATACAAAAAATTAGCCAGGCATGGTGGTGCACGCCTGTAATCCCAGCCACTCGGGAGGCTAAGGCAGGAGAATTGCTTGAAACCAGGAGGCAGAGGTTGTGGTGAGCCAAGATTGCACCATTGCACTCTAGTCTGGGCAACAAGAGCGAAACTCTATCTCAAAAAAAAAAAAAAAGAAAAGAAAAGAAAATTAGCCAAGCGTGGTGGCTTGTGCCTGTGGTTGCAGCTACTCGGGAGGCTGAGGCAGGAAAATCGCTTGAACCCGGGAGAAGGAGATTGTAGTGAGCCAAGATCATGCCACTGCACTCCAGCCTGGGCAATAGAGTGAGACTCAGTCTCAAAAAGAAAAAGAAAAAGAAAACATCTGTTTAACCCGGCATCGTCCCAGACTTTTAAAATCACAGACCCTTTTTTCAAGTAAAGTTAAGGAATAGTCTTGGGGAAATCCTACCCCTAGGCAAATTGGTCAAAATGAGGTTGATCAACAAAACACTTGATTCAAATGACAACTTGATTTTCTCTAGTCACTCTACCACATGGTGGTCTAAGAACCACTGGGCTAAAGAAATAATTACTGTCATTGTGAGTTTTCTGGTGCCCTTGATGTTTGCTCTTGAGAACAGAAAAGATCATTCAGGAGCTAGGTTTTTTTTGTTGTATGTTTGTTTTTGAGACAGAGTCTTGCTCTCTCGCCCAGGCTGGAGTGCAGTGGTGCGATCTCAGCTCACTGCAACCTCTGCCTCCCGGGTTTCCCCGGGAGAATCCCTCCTGGGATTCTTCTGCCTCAGCCTCCTGAGTAGCTGGGACTACAGGCGTGTGCCACCACACCCAGCTAATTTTTGTATTTTTAGTAGAGACGGAGTTTCACCATGTTGGCCAGGCAGGCCTCGAACTCCTGACCCAGATGATCCACCCACCTTGGCCTCCCAAACTACTGGGATTACAGGTGTAAGACACCAGGCCCAGCCAGGAGCTAGGTTTTTTAAAATTAATATTTAATTAATTAAAATATTACACATTTTTCCTTAAGCTTTAAGTCCCTTTATAAATCTATCACATTTTAAGGGAGCTTTTATAACAAGATTAACTAAATTATCTTAGACATTTTAATTATGTTCATACATTTAGTGTATTGTATTTTCTCTAAGAACTTTATTTGTCGGCCAGGTGTGGTTGCTCACGCCTGTAATCCCAGCACTTTGGGAGGCTGAGGCGGGTGGATCACAAGGTCAGGAGTTCAAGACCAGCCTGGCCAAGATGGCAAAACCCCGTCTCTACTAAAAATACAAAAATCAGCCGGGCACGGTGGTGGGTGCCTGTATTCCCAGCTATTCGGGAGGCTGATGCAGAGAATTGCTTGAACCCAGGAGGCAGAGGTTGCAGTGAGCCAAGATTGCGCCACTGCACTCCAGCCTGGGCCACAAAGCGAGACTCTGTCTCAAAAGAAAAAAGGAAAAAAAAAAAGAACTTTGTCTAATTATTAACAGCAAAATCTTCCCAATTACCTAAATATCTTTTGTAACTCAAATAAATTTAGAAGTATAGTGAGTTGTAGGCACCCTTAAACGTTCAAATACTGTTTATAAAATTAGTAATCCACTTGAAAATTGCAGGAATGTACCATTTAATCAGTCAGAAGCCAATCCATTACAAAAAGGTCAAATTATCTTAAATGTTAAAAGGTCTCAAATAGCAAATATGCACAGGTTATTACCAAATTTATTTATTTATTTATTTATATTCTATTTTATTTTTTGAGACAAGGTCTCACTCTGTCACCCAGGCTAAAATGCAGTGGCTCCATCACGGCTCACTGCAGCCTTGACCTCTCTGGGCTCCACGTGAGGTCTCCCACTTCAGTTTCCTGAGTAGCTGGGACTGCAGGCACAGGCCACCATGCCTGGCTAATTTTTGTATTTTTTGTAGAGACTGGATTTCGCCATGTTATCCAGGCTGGTCTTGAACTCTCCGGCTCAAGCGATCCACCTGCCTCGGCCTCCCAAAGTGCTGAGATTACAGACATGAGCCACCATGCCCATAGTGCCAAATTTAATATGAAAATAGTAATCTGTGTGTTTGTGTCTCTATTTTTAAATCTCCCTGTATTTAAAAAACAATATTTCTATACTTAATTCTAATTTTTCCTGAGTCTCAAAAAGGAAACAGTTGTGTTATCCCAAATAATTTGGGTTATCTTCACAGGTAAATTTTGGGGTTACCTTTTCAGCTGATTGAGATTACATATCAACAAGAAATTATGTCTGGGGTTTTCCAGAGCTTTTCCATAGCTTTCCAGGGTAATTTTTCTCAATAGTTGCTAGCCCCACCACCGTGGCACAAGTTTACCTATGTAATAAACCTGCACATCTGGCACATGTACCCCTGAATTTAAAGTAAAAGTTGAAGAAAAAAAAATAGTTGCTGGGCCTGTGAGATCTCCAAGTGTATTCCCTCTAAATGGGTTGATCGCTTAGCCCATGTCCTTTAGATTTAAGTTGTGCAGGTCACTATCTAGATTTTTCTTTTCCTCATTGAAGTCTGCAGCCCTCACTAAATTTGTGGATAACTTCCAACATTGTTTAAATTTACATTTAAATTGCTCTTTTAAACTATGTAAATGTAAATCTATTGGATTATCTATATATCTTAAATTTTTGTCTGACCTGTGATCATATCCCAAAAAGTCATACTAATAGAGACTAGGTACAAGGTTTTTAAAGTGCCCCTATCAGGTCTTAGCACAATTAACACAATTGATATGTGTTGCATTTAATGAATGAATGTGATCATGACTTAAATTTAGGCCTTTTCATATTCAGAACTTTAAATGCACTACAACATTGGGTTACCAATTAAATATATGCTGTCAAAATCCGACAGTTATTCTTCTAACTGCTAGCATTACCTACAACATTTTTGAACATTTACTATTCTGACAGTTTCTCCATAAAATTTAGTTTATGTGAGATAACCTGACCATAATGACAATCACTGGATTTTCCTAATACCTGTTTTTCATATGTTTTCCAGTATATTAAAAATTGAAGCTGGGCATGATGGCTCATGTCTATAATCCCAGTACTTTGGAAGGCCAAGGTGGGCAGATCTCTTGAGCCTCAGGAGTCTGAGACCAGCCTGGGCAACATAGCAAGACCCCAGCCATACAAAAAATAAAAAATTAGCCCTGTGTCAGGCTACAGAACAAGATCCTGTCTCAAAAAAGAAAAAGAAAAAACACTGAAAATTCAATTGACTTTAGAAACATAGTTCCAGCACAATATTAAATACCCAATTAATAACTAAGATGGGCCAGACATGGTGGCTTATGCCTGTAATCCCAGCACTTTGGGAGGCCAAGGCAGGTGGATCACCTGAGGTCAGGACTTCGAGACCAACCTGGCCAATATGGTGAAACCCGTTTCTACTAAAAATACAAAAATTAGCCGGGCGTGGTGGCAGGCACCTGTAATCCCAGCTACTTGTAAGGCTGAGGCAGGAGAATCTCTTGAACCTGGTAGGCGGAGGCTGCAGTGAGCCAAGATCATGCCACTGCACTCCAGCCTCGGTGACAGAGCAAGACTCCATCTCAAAAAATAATAGTAATAATAAATAATAATAATAACTAAGATGATCTGTAACTCAATTCGATTCTAAAGACTAGTAAGACACAAGGCCTTGCTAACACATTTACTATTTTTAAATTTTTTTCTTAAAAGAATTTTTTTATTATTATTTGTTAAGCCTACAGCATGCAGTATTCCCAGGCCCCATTCACTATTGAAGTAAGAACAATAGGGTTTATCATTTGTTTTGCTGATCCACTTGCCCGTACACAATAGAACCTGTGATCTGAGCAAGTGGCATGCTATTTGTTCAGCCAAGAATTGCTGTTCATGTTCTGTAGATAGATAGGTAGATGATAGAATAGATAGATAGATAGATAGATAGATAGATAGATAGATAGATAGGAAGGATACTAATGATATGAATACTTTCTCCTCCCTTAATATTTCTATTTCTGTTCCTGTTACTAATGCTTTCTTTCTATTTCTAGTAAGTTGCTAGGAGGTGGAATTGAAAGCATGGCAATTACAGAAGCTTTTGGAGGTAGGTAGAACCAAATATTTTGTTAAATGAAATTTTATACACACACACACACATCTATGTGTATACATACACATATAATTAAATAAACAACCAACAATAAATTGTAACTATTTTGGAAATTATAAAATCTCAATTATCATAATGTGAGATCATTCTGTACTGCAACGAAAATATATACCAACATTAACAGATGGTTCTTATCGACATTTTTCATCTTTTGTGATTCTTATAGAAGATAATAGATTTTTTTTTTTTTTTTTTTTTTTTTTTTTGATGGCATCTCGCTCTGTCGCCCAGGCCCAGGCTGGAGTATAGTGGTGCGATCTTGGCTCACTGCAAGCTCCGCCTCCTGGGTTCATGCCATTCTCCTGCCTCAGCCTCCCGAGTAGCTGGGACTACAGGCGCCCACCACCACGCCCGGCTAATTTTTTTGTGTTTTTAGTAGAGATGGGGTTTCACTGTGTTAGTCAGGATGGTCTTGATCTCCTGACCTCGTGATCCACCCGCCTTGGCCTCCCAAAGTGCTGGGATTACAGGCGTGAGCCACTGAGCCAATAATAGATTTTTTTCACTTATTTGTTTAAAAGGTAATTGAATAATGAGGCTGATTTTATTTATAGGCAATAATGTTCCATGAACATAGAGACTAGATTCTCTCTTCCCCGATTATATCTTCTATCTTTTTAAAAAAAATAATAGATACAAGGTCTCGTTATGTTGCCCAAGATGCTCTTGAACTCCTGGACTCAAGCATTCCTTCCACCTTGAGCTCCCAAAGTACTGAGATTACAGGCGTGAGCCACTGCACCTATCCTATTGTCTATTTTTAAAAAGCAATTCACGCATAGCTACACTGTGTGTCACATCTGGGAATTCCAGTATTTGCTATCCTTGGATAAGTAAATCTGTTTTTTGTTGTTTTTTTCTGTTGACTTGGGCATTAAATCTGGTTTTCATTATTTCTGTTGACTCATCTTAGTGGCTTACCTTCTTCTGTATTTATTGGTGTTTCTGAGCTTATTGTTTGATTTTAATCTATGAGAGTTCAATGGACCTGGACTGGTAAGTAGGAAAGTTTTCCTCCAGAAAGAATTTGCTTTTGCTGGTAACTAGGGGATGGCACCAATTTGAGACTACTTCAGCTCCCCTTTGAGGACCTCAGTTCAGTAGGGGAGCCCCAGGCTTTCTTTCCTGTGGTAGGGTATTTTACTTTATTTATTTATTTATTTGGAGATGGAGTCTTGCTCTGTCTCCCAGGCTGGAGTGCAGTGGTGCCATTTTGACTCACTGCAACCTCTGCCTCCTGGGTTCAAGCAATTCTGCCTCAGCTTCCTGAGTAACTGGGATTACAGGCACCTGCCACCATGCCTGGCTAAATTTTTTTTTTTTTTTTTTTGGAGGTGGACTCTCGCTCTGTCGCCCAGGCTGGAGTGCAGTGGCCTGATCTCAGCTCACTGCAACCTCTGCCTCCTAGGTTCAAGCAGTTCTCCTGCCTCAGCCTCCCAAGTAGCTGGGACTACAGGTGCACGCCACCACACCCAGGTAATTATTTATGTTTTACTAGAGATGGCGTTTTACCATGTTGCCCAGGCTGGTCTCAAACTCCTGAGTTCATGCAGTCTGCCCGCCTTGGCCTCCCAAAGTGCTAGGATTACAGGCATGAGCCACCATGCCCAGCTAATTGTTTTATATTTGGTAGAGATGGGGTTTGCCAGGCTGGTCTCGAATTCCTGACCCCAAGTAATCCATTCATCTCATCCTCCCAAAGTGCTGGGATTACAGGTGTGAGTCACTGCACTTTACCCCATGTGGTAGGGTCTTAAACTTTAATTTATACAACTAAGGAAAACTTGGTTTAAATTAATTTATATTAAACAAATACAGGCTCACGCCTGTAATCCCAGCACTTTGGGAGGCTGAGGTGGGCGGATCACCTGAGTTCAGGAGTTTGAGACCAGCCTGGCCAATATGGTGAAACCCCATCTCTACTAAAAATACAAAAACTAGCCAGGCGTGGTGGCAGGCACCTGTAATCCCAGCTACTCAGGAGGCTGAGTCAGGAGAATCGCTTGAACCCGGGAGGCGGAGGTTGCAGTGAGCCAAGATCATGCCACTGCACTCCAGCCTGAGTGACAGAGCGAGACTCTGTCTCAAAAAAAAAAATAAAAAATAACACCCGAGATACTTTATAAGTAAGATGTGTCAGTTGGAAAAGAAAAAGAAAACAGTAATACTCTGAGGCCATGTTTTATTCTTTATGAAAATATCTAGAAATTACGCATTTTTAAAATCTTTTTTTTCTGTATTTCACAGAATTTCGTACTGGAAAAACCCAGCTCTCTCATACCCTCTGTGGTAAGGATATATAACAACAATAACAATAATAATCATAGCTATTATTTCTCAAACATCTACTATGTGCCTGATACTCTAAATAATCTCATATAATCTGAACATACTTGCAAGGAAACTAAAACATAGGCAGATTAAGTAAACTGCCCGTGGTTATACAGCTGGTCTTTGAATGTGTGATCCTTGAGGTGATGTATTTGCTACACTATGGACACCTGAGTAGAAATAGAGAGACGTTGAATGGGTATATGAATGTGTTGGTGAGGAGTACACTGTCTCAATTTTTCCCATTCCATCTTTTCTATATCTTTTTTAGAAGAGTGACACAAAATCTATTGAGTCCTAGAATCTTTCACTTTCCATGGTGTAAAGTTGGCCCTAAGAGAGACTTAAAAACAAAATTGTTTTAAACAAAATAACCAAAGGTATCTCCTTTTCCACAAATACACTACTGTGCATTTCTTTGGGCTATGGAGAAGGAACTTGGCAAAGTGGTTAAGAAAGGAGTTCTGGAATCAAAATGCCTGACTTCAGTCCTGGCTCTATCACTAGTAGCTGTGTGACCTTGGGCAAGTTACTCTACTTCTCTAATTTCCCCCACCAATAAAATTCAAATAATGATTGTGCCAAATCTTAGGATTGTTTTGAAAAGTAAATGAAATAATGTATATACCTGGTATAAAGTAGCTCCTTAATGTTAACTACTACTACATAAAAAGTGATTGCAGTTGAGCATGGTGGCTCACACCTGTAATCCCAGCACTTTGGGAAGCCAAGGCAGGAGGATCTCCTGAAGTCAGGAGTTTGAGGCTGAGGCAGTAGGATCTCCCGAAGTCAGGAGTTTGAGAACAGCCTGGTCAACATGGTGAAACCCCGTCTCTACCAAAAAATAAAAAAATTAGCTAGGCCTGGTTGCACGTGCCTGTAATCCCAGCTACTGGGGAGGCTGAGGTGGGAGAATCATTTGAACCTGGGAGGTGGAGGGTGCAGTGGGCCAAGATCGTGCCACTGCATTCCAGCCTGGGTGACAAAGTGAGATCTGTCTCAAAAAAAAAAAAGTAAATGCATTTTTAAAATTTGACATGCAGTAATTGAAAGGTAACTTAAATTAGTTATATAGCATAAATTATATTTGTGACTATTTCTTTTTTTTTTTTTTTTTTGAGACAGAGTCTCGCTCTGTCACCCAGGCTGGAGTGCAGTGGCGTGATCTCGGCTCACTGCAACCTCCGCCTCCCGGGTTCAAGCTTTTCTCCTGCCTTAGCCTCCTGAGTAGCTGGGATTACAGGCATGCACCACCATACCTGGCTTTTTAAAATTTTTTTGTATTTTCAGTAGAGACGGGGTTTCACCATGCCTATTTGTGACTATTTCTTTCTTTTTTTTTTTTTTTTTTTTGAGACGGAGTCTTGCTCTGTCACCCAGGCTAGAGTGCAGTGGCATGATCTCAGCTCACTGCAACCTCTGCCTCCCGGGTTCAAGCAATTCTCCTGCCTCAGCCTCCAGAGTAGCTGGGATTACAGGCATGCACCACCACACCCGGCTAATTTTTGTATTTTTAGTAGAGACAGGGTTTGACCATGTTGGTCAGGCTGGTCTCGAACCCTTGACCTCAAATGATCCACCCACCTTGGCCTCCCAAAGTGCTGGAATTACAGTCACGAGCCACCACGCCTGGCCATATTTGTGACTATTTCTTGTAGAAAGAAAGTTAGTAGGTTGGGCATGGTGGCTCAAGCCTGTAATACCAGCACTTTGGGAGGCAAAGGTGGGCAGATCATGAGGTCAGAAGATTGAGACCATACTGGCCAACATGGTGAAACCCCATCTCTACTAAAAGTACAAAAATTAGCTGGGCGTGGCAGCGCGTACCTGTAGACCCAGCTGCTTGGGAAGCTGAGGCAGGAGAATTGCTTGAACCCGGGAGGCGGAGATTGCAGTGAGCCGAGATTGCGCCACTGCACTCCAACCTGGCAACAGAGCTAGACTCCATCTCAAAAAAAAATAAATAAATAAAAGAAAAATAAAAAAAGAAAGTTAGTAATATTTAAATTTTATTTCCATTCTGTGGGAGAACTAACTTTCACGAATATCTTCCATTGTGAAAGATAGTGAAATTATTTGTAGAATTATGGCTATGCTGGCAGAATACTTATAATTTCACCACTGGTTAAGTAATATGAAAATATAACATGTTTAGAAACGAAAGGATCATGACTCTTTGTAAAATGTACTAAAGAGTTGCAACAGCAGATTCCATGTGTATTTATATAGTCATTTGTACAAAGTTTATTCACTCTTATTAATATAAATTTTTAATTGCTTCCTAGTGACAGCTCAACTTCCAGGAGCTGGTGGCTACCCAGGAGGAAAGATTATCTTCATTGATACAGAAAATACTTTGTAACCTTTTTATTTAAAGTTGCTAACATAATATTGTGATATAGGAATATTACCACTAAAGAGTTTGTCTGAGATATACCATCTTTGTAGTCATCCAGTAAACCAGTAGTGAGACAAACTAAAGGGAAAACAATTACTGGTTAAGTTCTCAAATCACTTTTTATTTAATGAGGTTTCACTTCTTCATATGGGTTTATGAGACAAAACAAATACATGAGAGGAAATTATGTCATCTTCATTTTGAATTCTCTTACTTCTCTAAAGATTTTGCTCAATAGTTAGAAGTTTTTTGTTTTTTTTGTTTTGAGACGTAGTCTCTCCCTGTCGCCTAGGCTGGGGTCCAGTGGGGCGATCTCGGCTCACTGCAACCTCCATCTCTCGGGTTTAAGCAATTCTCCTGCCTCAGCCTACCGAGTAGCTGGGATTACAGGTATGTGTCACCACACCTGGCTAATTTTTTTGTATTTTTAGTAGAGATGGGGTTTTGCCATGTTGGCCAGGCTGGTCTGGAACCCCTGACCTCAGGTGATCTGCCCGCCTTGGCCTCCCACAGTGCTGGGATTACAGGGGTGAGCCACTGCGCCTGGCTGAAAGATTATTGACTCACTGAAAGTCATGGTCCCAAATGAAGGGAAAGGTGTGAAGGGGGTGAAAGTTCATAGGGAAAACAGGCAGAACCTGTTTGGGTTACAGAAAGAATTGCAGTTTAATTAAAGTATAAGGTATTCCAGGATATGGGCTAGAAAGATGATTGGGATCTTAGACATGAAAGGCTTTGAAACAAGATGGTAGGTGTAAATTGGATACTTTAGCAATATTCTAGGCAAGTAATGAGAACTTGATCTAGGTTGGAAGTGGTAAGAATAAAAAGAAAAGTAAAAGAAGTATTAGAGAGGAAAATTGATAGGACTTGATGGCTATAGGTGGTAGACAAAGGAAAGAGAGGTTTGAGAAATCGCTCAGGTTTTTTGTCTAGATACTGGGAGAATAGTTATGCAATGCTAACAATAGAACTGGAAAGATCATGTTTCAGAGAAAAGGTGATGTTTCATTTTAATATACTAATTTTACTTTTTTTTTTTTGAGACAGAGTCTTTCTCCATCACCCAGGCTGAAATGCAGTGGTGCAGTCTCGACTCACTGCAACCTCAGCTTCCCAAGTAGCTAAGTTTACAAATGTGCACCTCCACACCTGGCTAATTTTTGTGTTTTTAGTAGAGATGGAGTTTCGCCATGTTGGCCAGGATGGTTTCAAACTCCTGACCTCAAGTGATCCACCCACCTTGGCCTCCCAAAGTGCTGGAATTACAGGTGTGAACCATCACACCGGGCCTGATTTTTTTTCTTTTTTTGAGACAAGGTCTTGCTCTGTTCCCCAGACTGGAGTGCAGTGACCCAATTACACTCATTGCAGACTCCAACTCCCAGGGTCAAGTGATCCTCCCACTTCAGCCTTCTGAGTAGCTGGAACTACAGACACACACCACCACACCTGGCTAATTTTTTTTTTTTTTTTTTTGAGACGGAGTCTTGCTCTGTCGCCCAAGCTGGAGTGCAGTGGCGCGATCCTGGCTCACTGCAAGCTCCGCCTCCTGGGTTCACGCCATTCTCCTGCCCCAGCCTCCCGAGTAGCTGGGACTACAGGCGCCCGCCACTGCGCCCGGCTCATTTTTTGTATTTTTAGTAGAGACGGGGTTTCACCGTGGTCTCGATCTCCTGACCTTGTGATCCGCCCGCCTCGGCCTCCCAAAGTGCTGGGATTACAGGCGTGAGCCACCGCGCCCGGCCGCTAATTTTTTTTTTTAATCTTTTGTAGAGACCAGGTTCCACCAGATTGCCCAGGGTGATCTCCAACTCCTGGGCTCAAGCGATCTGCCTACCTTGGCCTCCCAAAGTACTGAGATTACAGGCATGAGCCACTGCACCCAGCCGTCATTTTAATGTATTGAATATGATGTACATGAGGATATCCAGATGGCAGCTGGAAATATTGAATTCAGCTTGAGAAAGGGGTAGGCCCAGAGATATGGACGAATTAACCAAGTGGGAAAGAGAACTTATAGAGAGAGAAGAGAGGAGAATGGAGAACATAACTTTGAGGTATGTTTATATTTAGGAAGAGGACTAAAATGAGGAATCCAGAGACAGAGGAAGTAGAAGGAAATCTGGTTGTAAAAGTCAAGCAAAAGGAAAGTTTCAAGACGAAAAGAGTTGTCAGCAATGTTACACACACATGGATTTTAAGGATACAGCCTGAGAAAGATCACTGAAGTTCAAAATTAGGAGTTCAAGCAAACATTTGCCGTAGGGTGAGGTGATAGAAGCTTTATGTAAATAAACAATAAGGGAAGGAGGCAGTATGAAATTGACCAATGAAAGGAAGACGGCTTGGCACAGTGGCTCACGCCTGTAATCCCAGCACTTTGGGAGGCCGAGGCAGGTGAATCACCTGAGGTCAGGAGTTCGAGACCAACCTGATCAACATGGAGAAACCCCGTCTCTACTAAAAATACAAAATTAGCCAGGCGTGGTGGCACATGCCTGTAATCCCAGCTACTCAGGAGGCTGAGGCAGGAGAATCACTTGAACCGGGAGGCGGAGGTTGTGGTGAGCCGAGATCGTGCCATTGCACTCCAGCCTGGGCAACAAGAGCAAAACTCCATCTCAATAAAAAAAGAAAGGAAGAAAAAACATACTAGTTTGAGGAGGTATTCAGAGGAAATTATTTTTAATAACAAAGAAGACCTATGCACGTTTGTAAGGCCATTCACAGTGAAGCCCCAGCCTGCCTCTCCAAGCTCGTTACTCACCATTGTCACTATTAGAGGCAAAGAGATGAATCCGTTTTAGTCCATCCCATTGCCTGTAAACATGCTTTGTTATCAAAATTTGCACATATGTCTGGTCTTTCTCCAGTAATCCCAGAACTTCAGGAGGCCAAGGCAGGAGGATCACTTGAGGCCAGGAATTCACAGACCAGCCTGGGCAACATAGTGTCTCTATGAAAAAAATTTTAAATTAGCCGGGTGTGGTGGCTATAAATCCCAGCTACTTGGAAGGCTGAGGCAGGAGGATCATTTGAGGCCAGGAGTTCATGATTCACCTGGGCAACATAGCAAGACTCTGTCTCTACCAAAAGAAAAAAAAATCTAAAAACATTGTACATCAGCAGTTATTTAGATTTAACTATAAAGATTTTTGTTTTCTTTGTTCATTATGGTTTCTTGCATCCCAAATGTTATTCTTTCCTGTATTTTTGTTTTGCTATAATACTTAAGTATTTCTTTCAGAAATATAATCCAGGTGGTAAACTTTGAACCTTAATATGTCTGAAAGTGCCTTTATTTTGCTCTTACTTTTGGCTGTTAATTTGGCTGGTCACAGAGAACTTTGCATGGTATATTTCTATCTTCTTGGGTATTTGCTCCTTGCATCCCCATCTCACAGTCTTTCTGAATCATACAAATCATTTAAGGCTCTCATTTCAAGGTCTGCTTTTTCTAATCTTCCCTAATAACTCAATTTAGAAAATATTGTCCTTCTTGACCTATTATAGAATTTACTATCTAAAATACTCACTTCGAAAACAAAACAGAGAACTGTTTGCAGAAGTCCCTTTTCAGAAATGCCAGGCATGAGAAGACTCTGAAAGAGCCTTTTAACTTGGGGAAGGAAGGTGAAATGTTGTACAGGGCTTTAATAGGGGGCTCAGCTGGAGTTCAGCCGGTTTCAGAAACAATTGATTAAGGATGATTCTCCTCTCAGAGAGGAAAGAATTGTTCTTGCAGATTAGCAGCCACTGTTTGGGCAATTTGGATTTTTTTTTTCCCAAGACGGAGTTTCACTCTTGTTGCCCAGGCCAATGGCACGATCTTGGCTCACCACAACCTCCACCTCCCGGGTTCAAGCGATTCTCCTGCCTCAGCCTCCCGAGTAGCTGCAATTGCAGGTGCACGCTACCACGCCCTGCTAATTTTGTATTTTTAGTAGAGACAGGGTTTCTCCATGTTGGTCAGGCTGGTATAGAACCCCCCGACTTCAGGTGATCCGCCCACCTCAGCCTCCCAAAGTGCTGGGATTACAGGCGTGAGTCGCCATGCCCGACCTGCAATTGGATTTTATTAAGAACAATAGGAATAGTTAGGAGTTAAGTCATATGCAAGAGAGAGTGGAGAAGAACAGCTGGATGGGGGTGCAGGGCACTGTGGCAAGGGCCATATCGGAATGTTCTCATTCTTTGGGTGTCTCATACTTACACTGCTGTCTCTTGATATTTTTCTTTTTATATGTTTATATTTTGCCTCCTTAATTATGTTTTAAATTTACCTAGGGCATAGGTTGTCTTAGGACTCCTTATATCCTCCATAATGCTTTACCTTGGTAATTGGTTAATATGGTAATTAATTCCATATGATAATTGGTTAATAAATATTTATAAACGATCTGAACTTCCCTTCAGCATAAGCCCAAGTTTTTTCATTTTAAATTGTTTTGTTTTGTTTTGTTTTTGAGACAGGGACTTGCTCTGTCGCCCAGGCTGGAGTGCAGTGACATGATCATGGATCACTGCTGCCCTCGACATCCAGGACTCAAGTGATCCTCCCACCTCAGCCTCCCAAGTAACTGGGACTACAGGCATGTGCCACCATGCCCAGCTAATTTTTGTATCTTTTTGGTAGAGACAGGGTCTCATCATGTTGCCCAGGTTTGTCTCCAACTCCTGAGCTCTAGTGATCCTCTCACCTGGGCTTCCCAAAGTGCTGGGATTATAGGCATAACCCACCATGCCTGGTTTTGTTTTTCCCTGTCTTTTTTATAAAAGCCATATTAACTGGGGTGAGATGATGTTTCATTGTAGTTTTGATTTGCATTTCTCTGATGATCAATGACATCGAGTACCTTTTCATATAGCTATTTGCCGTTTGTATGTCTTCTGTGAACCCAGAAAATCTGAGACAGGTCTCAGATAGTTTAGAAAGTTTATTTTGTGGCCAGGTGCA